CACCCCCTGCTATGTGCAGCATACGTACAAGCAAATCCCACACACAGAGGAGGTAAGGAGCATGCACTGATTACAGCAACACAGAGGAAGCTATTAAAAAATAAACTTAAAAAACCACTGCCTCTGGTCTGATCCCACAAGAGAGCTACTGCAGCACAAAATGCTGAAAAAGTTCATGCTGGCTGTGACAGAAAGGCATCAGAACACAGTGCATCGCAGCTGGCTGTATATGGGGCTGTGTAGCCACAGACTGGTCAGAGTGTCCATGCTGACCCCTGTCCACCACCGAAAGCGTCAGAACTGGAGCATGGAGCATGGAGCTGGACCTGGTCTGATGTGTCGTGCTTTCTGTTGGACGGCCGTGAGGAAGAGGTTGCACCAGAATGCACTATGAGAAGAAGGCAAGCCGACAGAAACAGTGAGATGCTCTGGGCAATGTTCTGGGAAGCCTTGGGTCCCGGCATTCATGTGGGTGTTACTTTGACACTGTACCACCTCTCTAAACATTGCTGCAGACCAAGTACCACCCTTCATGGCAACGGTATTCCCCGATGGCAGTGGCCTCTTTCTGCAGGATAATGCATACAACCAAACTGCAAAAAATTGTTCAGAAATGGTTTGAGGAACATGAAGAAGAGTTCAAGGTGTTGACTTGGCCTCCAAAATCCCCAGGGCTCGATCCGGTCGGCCATCTTTAGGACGTGCTGGACAAACAAGTCCAATCCTTAGAGGCTCCACCTCACAGCTTACAGGACTTACATGATCTGCTGGTAATGGCTTGGTGACAGATACCACAGGACACCTTCAGAGGTCTTGAGGAGTCCAGGCCTCAACTAGTCAGAGCTGTTTTGGCAGCACGAGGGCGACCTACACAATATTAGCCAGGTGGTATTAATGTTATGGCTGATTAGAGTATAACACAAAGAAAATGTAAGCTCATATGCTTCCTACACCATGCGGTTGCGTTTTGGGTTGGTGTGTGTCCTGATCAGTCCGCCGCACCTGAATAGCAGATGTGTGAGAGCACGCGTGACTTCCTGTTTGGGAACACACCCGTCCCACGCGGGGAATTTTCTGACACTCAGCTCGAGCTTACTGGGCTCGCACTAATTTCACATTTTCCGACTTCTTAACAGAAAGGCTGAAAGGTTTTCTTTTGAATTTACGTGCATTTGCAGATGGCACAGACTAACGGTTTAATGTCAGGCAGAATGCAACCGTGACTCAATTATAATGATAACATTTTCTGTCGGCAGACCAAAACTCTCGCTGTATTCGGAACTACTGAGGTTCACATCATAATCATAAATCTGGCAAATTTACAAAAGAGTTCTTTGTCAACCTGTTGAAGAAGACTTAAGCAAAGATCACAAGAGGACAGTAAAATGCACAAAAATGTCCATTACAATGTCAGTACTAAAAGCCCTACTTTTCACTGGACAAAGCAAATGAAAAACTATGACATTCAACAATTATCCAGCTGCTTAGCAAATGAAATCCTTCAAAACTTTGGCTTTTTTACTGTGAAATTACAGCCACATGTATCATAAAATTACATAAAGAAAAACCTAAGTGTCGCTGATCAGATTTTCTTAGATGGGTAATTCCTGAATTAACTGCGTCATATGAGGGTGGATCAATCTTAAATCAGTAACCACAGAAAATAATTTCCTGCCTGCTGTCAGTTCCCAAGAAAATAAAAAACCCTTTTGCAGGTTTTATATTGTGTGGCTGTAGTTGGTCTTTAAAGTGGTGGTGTAACCTTATGAAAACTCAAAGACACACAGTCCCCACACAGATCTCTATGCACCAATCGCAGTGTCCAATTCACTGCTTCCATCCAACACTGCAGAACTGTCACATCAGTGTTCTCCAATCAACTCACAAATACATCAGCTGTCGGTCTCAGGGAGGGCGACATGTGCCAGATGCGGTTTCTGAACCAGATAGTGACAGGCTCGATTCCCGGCAGGTCTATCTGCTGTTCCCTTGAGTGGGTACTGAACTGCATTTGTTTTAGCTGTTTCAGTTTCAAAGTTTAAACGTTGATTCTATCAGCAGACAAACAAAACTAAAATCATATCAGTGTCTGTGCAGGCAGCCTGGTGACGGCCGTGGAAGTGTCTTCCGCAGCCATAATACGTCTGGCAGTTTCCCCGGGAGGATGCGGGGGTACCTGCTCGCGCGGCGGTTTCGGGAGAAACTGCGTCTGAGCAGCAGCTCAGTTCACAATCCTGTTCAGCTGGCCTGGGGGGTGGGGCGCTGGACGAGCATGGGGGGGGGTGGCTGTACCCACATCCTGTGCGCAGTCTACCGTTTAGCCGCACGCCCCCGCGCGGGCACACAGTCGCTGCAGCTGGGTACGAGCGCGCTCCCGCTCAGCAGCGATAAGGAGGAGCGTGAACCTGCCGTTGGGGAGCGCGAGGGAGGATAGGCAGCTCGGCGAGCCGTTAAGCGCTTCTGGGGTGAAAAAGAGGGTGGAAATAAATCAGAAATGCGCTTATCTGACAGAGAACTGGCAGGGAGCACAGCTCGCTTTCATCCCTCGTAATGCCTGGTTTATTTATGCCAATAAAGTAGGGATAAAATTCCCAAAACGCATTAGGTGTGAAATTACAGGAAACATTCCTGCGTAGGCTACCACTTTCTTTAGGTCTAGTCACTGGTTATGGCGTGCATATAGCAGGTTACTGACATATTTTTCACCCAAAACAATCTGAACTGACTACAAACTTCAGTTTTTCTATACACCTGTTGGAACTGCGTGGAAGTAAGGTTCAGTTATTTCTTGTATCTGTAATTGGCAGTTAAATATCGAATATACTGTCGCCTTCTGGTAAAAAATAAAAAATGGACACTCTAAGCAAGTAAACGGAGATTGTCTCTCTCTGGTTCTCACGTATCTATGCCCCAAACAACATTCACTGTCACGTTACCCTGCAACAAGAACAACGTCACGTTTCGATTGTACACACTGTTCTAAAACGAATTACACTGAAGGTCGACGCTTTATCATTTTTGTGACTCGTTTAAAATGGGATCTTCCATCCCACCCGCACAAATCACCATCGCTACGTAAATTCGCATTTAAAGCACAATCACTTTCCGAGAAAAACTACACAGCCGTTACGATAGGGATCCAAAGCCTTTTGCATGTATATACCCAGTTGCGCAAGAGACAGACCATACAGTCACCAAAATAACCAAAGAGAAAAAATATATACGAAAAAGGCAAAATACACTCTTCATTACAAAGCTTAATTTTAGGAAGGTCAAGAAAAAAAAAACAATACGCATATAAGGATTTATATTAATCTATCATTTTTTCATAGTGGACCAAAATGGGACGCCTGCCAGCATCGTACTTGCTGTGGATCTGAGCGTAACGATCGAACAGCTTCCAACAATCCCGCAGGTTTGGGTCACCACGACCGTCAGGCTCATAAAAATAATGAAAGCATCGCTTTGTCTTACCCCGGTGTTTGGCTGACGTTTGGACGCCCGCCGAGACCCAGCCATCGGATGTTTTGTGACAGCGTGCAACTCTCTTGTTTACAAAGCTTCGGCCGGGGATCCGATTGGCCGCCGCGATCGGGACGGCGACGCCCCAAAGCTTTTGTTGAACTTTTGCACTTTGTCACCCTCGGATGTGTCGCTAGGTGGCAGCCGTCGCCCGACTCATGAATTCATCCGCCACGAAATCACCATTGATTCCGTTGCTATAAAATGATACTGCACGATCTGTCTTTCGGGATAAAAATAACAGTACGTTCCAGAAAAATACACCATGTGTATATTTTTGAATGCAGGGGACCGGTACATATATTAAACAGCCCAAGCTTAATTGGGAGTGCAATTACAAATTACTATTTAATTACGGCGTAATCACACACACTTTGACCGTAATGCAACCCAAGACTTCTGTTACTACTTATTTCATTCAGTTACTGTTTTTTGCTCAGTCGTAACCATATAAATAAAAAGCTAATAATAGCCAGCAGGTCTCCGGCTCAGTTTGCTACTGTTGTGGTCCTAAGACAGTGGGTCAGTCTAAATGATAAAACTATAGGTTATACATTTAAGTGTATAAGCTTTGCCTTTAAAAAAAAGTTGCCTATAGAGGCGGAGATTACATTTTGCCACGAAGCAATGGACTATTTCATGTATGATAGGTAATTCATAGAATTCTTGCAATGCCAAAAAACCTGAAATTATAAAAATGTTTAGCACATTAACCAATAATACTAATAAATAATGCATTGACGTGGGGTTCGGGATATAAAGAATTAATCCATTCAAAATTCTAGCTGCTCATCTGATAAATTTTTTTAAAGTGTGTGGCTCAGCAGGTTAGACCTATGTGATTGTGTGGCAGGTCACTGGTTTGAATCCCATGCTTGATAATCATATGATGCCTCATAATTACATGTTGAGCCCTTCAGCACGGCCCTTAACCAGGGGAGCTGTGCCAGGGATTCTGGGTAAATGGCTAACATTCTGCTCTGACCCCAAGTTTCACTCTTACCTGTGGCCCAGGAACCTCGGGGACATAAAGCAGGAGTCAGTGAAAACAAAGGAGTCCCTGTGTGCCCGTACTTGTGCAAATGACTCTGGCAGCACGAAATATTTTGGCGACTGGACGGGGTCCCTCATGATGAATTTTGCGGGCCCACACACCCGAAAATGCTCAATATGCCAGATGGCCAGGCCAGCCCAAACCGAAAGCATCATTTAGACACACAAATTTGCACGACTCCATGTCTTTGGTGCTGAGGGACGACATGCACACAGCACAGAGAGAATATGCGAAACCCACATAAGCAGAGCAGGTGTGAGCACAGTGAGGTGACACGGCTATAGACGATAGGAAAGGTAGGTTAGTCATTGAATCAGCTGAAAGGTTTTTATTTACTGGAAGCAGATTAAAAACAGCATTTTTGTATGGTCAGATTTCTTGGATATGATCTGATTAAATGAAAAAGAAAAAACATTGTAACGATTGACGTCAAAACCGGGACCAGGCTGAAAGGTGCTGGCAGGCGCTTCGTGCCTACTCGGATTTTCCCTCGGGTCTTTCCGTGACTGTTTGAGGGAAGCCCCTCCCCGCTCCGTTTCGGCGTTGTTTGGGGACAGAAGGAAGATGGCGGCGGTCCCGCTGTACTGTGTCTGCCGGCAGCCGTACGATGTGAGCCGGTTCATGATCGAATGCGACATTTGTAAGGACTGGTTCCATGGCAGGTACGAAGTCAATCTATCATCCACCGACTTGTGCGGAAATACCATAAGGCTCTGGCCCCGGGGTCGTTTAAGGGGTGTTTAAAAACTCGGGCTTGCGCGATGTCAGTTGCGATTTGTAGGTAAAGGATCTGCATGTGCCTTTATTGTCATTCTGACACTTTGCTAACTTAATATTACTGCGTGTTGCCTGTGATGTGACGGTCCTTCACTGTCCGCCTGGTTAGCCGAAGTCGCTTGGCCGTCGGTTTTCAAGCCCCGAGTCGCTCTCTATTTAAGTTTATCCGCAGTCCGGCTTGGCATGCAAAGCTCGGATTTAGCTGTGAGCAGCTAAGCTATCATCTGAAATATGTAGCTAGCAGGGTGAGCTTTTGATTTTTACACGTAAAAGCTGCTGAAAAGTAAAGCAGCCCTCTTGCTTTATTTCGGATCTGGGGTGCTTCTTAGAGCTCCGTGCCGGGAAGTTATTGATTTCTGCCAGTGAATAGTTTACAGGACCTGAGATCGATGGTCAGCCTCGCGGAGGTCTGGATGATAGGGTGCTGCAAGCTGCTTTCTAAGCCAGATTTCGTACTTCAACATGCCGGTTTATCCGTGCTGCTGTCTCTCGTTTGTCCGTTTTTGGTGCAGCTTGGGAGATCGTTAGCGTCGGTGTCGGAGCGCCGGGATTTACGCCCATTCTGAGGAGCATCGGGAAGTATCTGGCAACCAGTGTGCATTTTATGGGCAAACATCTGCTTTTACCCTAATCTAAACTGGGAAAACCGAGTTATACAGTAGAGCCGTTTGAAATGCCCGGTTTTTATAAGTGCGGCTGTGATCGTTAAAGGTACAAAGCTTTCAGAACCGTACGTCAAAAATTTCGATGAAGTTGTTCAATGAGCGATGTAATGTTAGTGGCTGATTTTTACTGTGCTGTTTAAAATATGCATCTGTGCAAAAGGGTGGGTAATACTACCCGTCACTCGTGTAAAAACGACCCTGCTGTTATCCGCGTATTCAGTTAACACATATTTGAGAACTGCAAAGTTATATTTAGTTATTTTACAAGCCGGGATACGGTTTAATGGTAGTGTGAGGTGTCAGTTCGCCGTGTCTTTCAATGGGGATTAACGGGGAACTAAACAAAGAAGTGTCGGTGCAATTTGCGATATAGGGCATCGTTATAGTTGCTCGCTCTCATCTTTTGTCCCTTTAAGATTTTGAGAGTAGCTGAAGTTAAGCCAGACCAATCGCTTATATAATAAATCATACAAGAGGGGAAAATCGTGTGATAACGGTGGTCGGGCCTTCTGATTGACAGTCGAGGTTGGACATTTAAATACCCCCCTTTTAACAACAATAATAGGCACATGGTGGGAGCCCCCTAGCGGCGGCATAGAGATCGGCCTTTTAAAGAGACACGCACGTGCTATACGTGAGCAGCACTGCCTTCTCCTCTAATCCGTCATTCATCGATTTCTGAACTGTTAATGACGCTTAATTGGCACGTTAATTGAAACAGCGTAACCGGACCACGTGTTATAAGTGTGATTTTGCGGGAAGAATGTTACGTGTATGTTACGCGTACTAATGCGAATGCTGACTATTTGAATTTTTTAAGAAATTGAATATATCAACTAATTTAGTCCATTTAGATCAGTGTCTTAGTTACTAGTAACGTGTTGTCACACACTTGAAATCTGAGATTTCTTCAGTTGATTGTATAAAGCACAATTAAGATCAGCGTGCATTACGGATTTGGAAAAGACAGCTCTCATGATATTTTCTCCTGACTAATGTGTGTTCCTTTGTCTACCAGTAGGTAACACATGTCATTATTATTTAAGATTTGGTAATCGTTGTGTTTGACGATAACCAGGCTTAACTTTGATTCTTTTGCTGAATATACAGTAGGGTGGGGTGAAAAAAATCTAAATTTCCAATAGCAATTTCCAATAGTGCGGAAAAGTTGTCGCTGGACCTCGTTATTAAACGTGCAAAATATCTTTGAAATAGGTTAATATTTTCAGGTTCCTCAAGGCGATCGAAGTTTTCACCTGTCACATCAATGGGCAATATACACGATCCATTATCTATACTCATCGGTGTTGTGTTTGTGCTCTTTCACAACATGATAATCACTACAAAATACCAACGTTCAGGTAACGCAGATTTTTACTGGGTATCAACCATACACATAAATTACATCGTCCCGCGGCTCTATGTGCGTTACAATTAATCACCTTACATATTTTTTTGTAATGTTGTTCCTGTATTACCATTTTATTGTTTCTTACTATGTGACGTTTTAGTTTGCTATTGTACTGTGTTGAGATCTACAGAAGTTACTTGTGCATGTGAGTGCTTTCTCTTGCCAGTGAACGTTACATACTGGAATGCAGAACCTTGCAGTGTTGAAACTGGTGTGTTTGACATGAATGTTTTGGCATTCATCGGTGTAGTGTTTGTGCACTTTCGCAACATGATAATCACAACAAAATACTAACATTCAGGTAACACAGATTTTTACTGGGTATCAGCCATACACATACATTACATCGTTCTGCCGCTCTACGTGCATTACGATTAATCACCTGTCACATCAATGCGCAGATCCACGCTACGTATCATCCATGTCATAACGCAATGTAAAATTGTTCCTCAGTGCCACCAAAATGAAAAGTATTAAGCATGACAGTCAAAATGGTTAGGTACACTATATTACCAAAAATATTGGGACACCTGAATTCAATGATTTAGAGGAGTGTCCCAATATTTTTGGTAAGACCCAGATGGATAAAGCGGTATAGATAATGGATAGTGTATATTGCCAGTATCTCAGTGTAAGCATGGTCCTGTGGTATAGATAATGGATAGTGTATATTGCGCATTGATGTGACAGGTGAAAACTTTGATCGCGTTGCGAAACCTGAAAATATTAACCTATTTCAAAGATATTTTGCACGTTTAATAACGAGGTCCAGTGACAACTTTTCCGCACTATTGGAAATTGCTATTAGAATTTTTTATTTTTTTCACCTCACCCTACTATATAGCGTGATATCGAAGTCTTGGGGGCAACTACCAAAGGGCACAAATTTAAGATTCCTTCATCCTGACATTTCAGACGTTGCAGGAGATATATTTGCAGAAATGAAATAACATTCACTATTTAGTTGTGGGTGGCGTTTCAGTAAGGTTTTGTGTGATTGAATGCATTTTATAAAACAGCAGAATGATCTTCAGGCTGGATTCTGTCGCCATTGGAGCATTGAATTGCTTTACTGTGCTAAGTGGATCTTAAGGTAATTAGTTCCACCTGTTCCTTGGGACTGATTAACCTTTTCAAAAATCTGACCTTAGAGGAACGTCTGCAGTGACTGGCCTAGTTCAGAAGCCGTGTCCGAGATTTTCGAAAGAGAACGTGGCATGTTTGGTATCCCTGGTGTGTTTTGATTTGGCATTCATCCAAACTTTGAGGGACCTTGCTGCTGTGATGTTTACTCTGCGATCGATCATGTGAGATGGAACTAGGTAACTGAGACATGTTCCCGCAGTGTCACGCCTGCAGATGTATGGGCTCTTCTCTGGAGCAGATCACTAATGGTTGTCTTGCTTCTTGTGCTGAACAAAGCCATGGTTCTGTGTCCTGGTCTACAGTACTCTCTGTACCTTTTATATGTCTGGCTCCACAGTAAGTGCTTGGAAGCATTATGTTTTGTGCTGTAACAGCAAAAGTCTTATGTAAGTTTGTCGTACTGCCAAGAACCCAGTGTGAGAAATTAAAATGTGCAAGCCAGGATCGTAATAGCGTGCTAAGCCTGAGGCTGTGGAAAGTACAGCTCTCTGGCCTATAGAAAATGTCAGGTCACGGTGCGTTAGACGCCGGCATTGTGGGGACGTCCCTCAAGCGGCTTATCAGCATCTTAAAGAGACAGTATTAGTGCCAAACTGAAATCAGTCATTTTGAAATGATGGTATGAATTATTAATTATGATAAAGTATCAGCCAATGCTATGTCTCTACACTGGCTTCTACAGCTTTTTAGATAATCAAGACAATTAACCTCATCAGATCATCTGGGCTGAGCATGACCACCAGATAAAAGTAATTGTAGATCATTGTCTTATTAATGCATAGATGTTTAACCAATTATGAAAAATATTTTAACCAGTAGGGAAAATGGGTAATACGTCCTTGGAATGCCATGCCTATAAGAATCTACGAACACATTCATAACACAAGGCATTCATAAAGCTTTATAAACATGGCAATAAAGAGTACAAAGCCAAAACATTTCCAGACGCCTCTCCTGCTACAGTCAATATCAGTTAAGTGCAGTGGTGCAAGCGGCAGAATCGATTTCATGAAAAATGTCTATTGAAAATGTTTCAAACACAATAGAATTGATACTTTTGACAATGGTAGTCTGTGTGTGTGTGTAGTTTGCGGTCTGCATTCTCGGCTTAATCAGAGAGGTTGTCATCTCCAGTATAAGACAGTATCTTGGGTTGTGAGCAGTGAGTGAGCCTGATGGCAATGTGGGCGTCCAGAGTTACACAGCAGCCTGTCGACACCCCTGCGGTTTTCGCTCAGTGTTGCACTGTAAGCTGGGTCCCTGTAACCCCGTTGCAGGACTCGTTTCCTCAACTGTAAAGTGACACATTCTGTCCTCATTATGAGTTTTCAGGCTCTGTCAGATTGCTGCTGTCCCACCAATGAGGCGACTAGGTAACAAAGAACCCTTCAGTGATATTCCCTGACCCTCAGTTCCATCAGTTAATCTCATGAGGAGGTCTGTCTTGCTCTGTTCATTGAGCGCTTTTGTGAAAACATCTTTTTTCCACAGGGCCATTCTCAATAGTATGAGCCCTGAATTAGTCTGCAGACCCTTTCAAGTCAACCGTCATTTGCGATTGTTGTGGTTTTAGTTGCAGAGAGACTTGTTCCTGCAAGCGCCGCATACCTTTGCAAGAATCTTCAGTCCCCATTAATTTCTAGGTGATCTATCTCTCTCCAGA